GCGGTCCGACTCATCCCAAACCATCTCAATTGGGTTGAGGTCGGGGGATTGTGGAGGCCAGGTCATCTGATGCAGCACTCCATCACTCTCCTTCACGGTAGAATAGCCCTTACACAGCCTGGAGGTGTGTTGGGTCATTGTCCTATTGAAAAACTAATCATAGTCCCACTAAGCCCAAACCAGATGGGATGGCATATCGCTGTAGAATGCTGTGGTAGCCATGCTGGCTAAGTGTGCCTAGAATTCTAAATAAATCACAGACAGTGTCACCAGCAAAGCACCCCCACACCATAACACCTCCTCCTCCATGCTCTACGGTGGGAAATACACATGCAGAGATCATCCATTCACCCACACCGTGTCTCACAAAGACACAGCGGTTGGAACCATAAATCTCCAATTTGGACAAATTTCCACTGGTCTAATGTCCATTGCTCGTGTTTCTTGGCCCAAGCAGGTCTCTTCTTCTTATTGGTGTCCTTTAGTAGTGGTTTCTTTGCAGCAATTCGACCATGAAGGCCTGATTCACACAGTCCCCTCTGAACAGTTGATGTTGAGATGTGTCTGTTACTTGAACTCTGTGAAACATTTATTTGGGCTGCAATTTCTGAGGCTGGTAACTCTAATGAAGTTATCCTCTGCAGCAGAGGTAACTCTGGGTCTTCCAATCCTGCGGCGGTCCTCATGAGAGCCAGTTTCATCATAGTGTTTGATGGTTTTTGTGACTGCACTTGAAAAACTTTCAAAGTTCTTGAAATGTTCCGTATTGCCTGACCTTCATGTCTTACAGTAATGATAGACTGTCGTTTCTCTTTGCTTATTTGAGCTGTTCTTGCCATAATATGGACTTGGTCTAATACCAAATAAGGCTATCTTCTGTATACCCCCCCTACCTTGTCACAACACAACTGATTGGCTCAAACGCATTAAGAATGAAAGAAATTCCACAAATTAACTTTTAAGAAGGCACACCTGTTAATTGAAATGTTAATATTTATGTGCCTTTGAATGGGGTATGGTAGTAGGTGCCAGGCGCATTGGTTTGAGTGTGTCAAGAACTGCAACGCTGCTGGGTATTTCATGCTCAACAGTTTCCCGTGTGTATCAAGAATGGTCCACCACCCAAAGGACATCCAGCCAACTTCACACAACTGTGGGAAGCATTGGAGTCAACATGGGCCAACATCCTTGTGGAACGCTTTCAACACCTTGTAGAGTCGATGCCCCAACGAATTGAGGCTGTTCTGAGGGCAAAAGGGGTGCAACTCAATATTAGGAAGGTGTTCCTAATGTTTTGTACACTCAGTGTATACTTGGTTTTATCTGCAGGGCAATAAAGGCAGATTGAAGCTCTGACAGAGCGTGGTCAGCTGTGTGGGCAATAGCATACATCACTGTGTCATGTACATACAGGTGAAAGTTACAACTTTTTACAGGTATAACAATATTCTTATTGTAAATAGTGAAAAGAGCCAGACCAAGAATGGATCCCTGTGGGATACCCATTGTTATGCCCAGAAAACCTGATTTAACACCATCAGTAAATACACACTGCGTTCTGTCTTTCAAATAATTTTCAAACCAGCTACACGCGGCCTGGTCCAGGCCAATTGATGAAAGCCTCTGAATAAGTAATGAGTGAGCCAGTCTTTCGTCCAGTGGAGGCTGCTGAGGGGAGGACGGCTGGAATGGAGTCGATTGTATAGTATCAACCACATGGAAACCGCTTGAACTTTGATGTGTTTCATACGATTCCATTGACTCCATTCCAGCCATTATTATGAACCGTCCTCCCCTCAGCAGCCTCCACTGGTTTCTTCTTATCCAAACAATTAAGAACATCATTTAAACCAAAGAAGTAGCTAGATGGTGCTATGACCTGGTCTGAAACTTGACTGAAACCTGACCAGAGCCCTATTATAAGTAGTGCACTATATGGGGGATAGGGTGTCATTTGAAACGTAGCCATTCTTAATGCCATATAATTATCCAATGTAATAGACTACTATCAGATTCACAGAATGGCTGACTTGACATTGATTGTCCAGAAGGCACAAGACAGGAGCTGTAGTTCAGGTAGCCTCGAGGTTAGAGCGTTGTGCCAGTAACCGAAAGGTTGCTCATTTGAATACTGGAGCCGACAAGATGAAAATATCTGTTGCTGTGCCGTTTGCAGTACAATGGCATCCCTGGCCATGACCCCACTCCCCGCAGGTGTCTCAGGTGGAGGGATATTCAAAAAAACACATTTCCATTACACACTTGTGTGTAACAGGACATATATAAGCACCCCCCAAATTATTATGATATACTCAACCCTTGTCGACATGAACCCAGCTGCTCTCAGTCAGATTTCAACACAGATATAAAGGAAGCCGTTGGAACTTGTCAAGTGTGAGAGAATTGAAATGTCCTTGGCAAAGAACTGACCTCCCGAGGCATGAACGGCATCCACCAGTACCCAGAATCTGAACCAAAAATAGGATGTGAGGAAGGCTCAAATCCAACTGTAGCGTAACTGACATTCAGTACATTATCCATTAAATGTCCATTAATTTGTCAACTAACATGCCAGTATTTTGTCTACTGAACTTGTTGACCCTATTTAACTGCAACCATAGAGATGTTCTATTTATTCTGTGTGTGACAAAGTATGATTTATGTGACTAACTGTACATATCTGTTCATTATGTTGTGTATTAATATTTCTGTTCTATTCTAATGTTGTGTATTTGCTGATGGGGTGAGAGGTCACTATGCATTGCCCAATACATTAAATTGACAATAATGTATTCAGTACATGCAATCATGTAAAGTCTCTATGAGAGGTCCCAGTGGAAATCTCCTGCAACCCAAGTTCATATGTTATGAATACAGACAGATTAAATAAGAATTTCCTTAAACCCCTCAAGTAGGATTTGAAATCATCAATCAAAATACTGCAATACAGTACATTTAATGTAATGGATTAAAAAGGCAGACAAACCAACTTGATCAAAAAACTGATTTCATCCAGCCCTAGTTATGGAATATTATTGTTCTGTATTACTGTGTAGCAATATTATCATCCAATCATCACATTACCGAAGATCTAGGGAAGATTTGCCTGTGCGCTGGTTGTTAGTTTGTGTGCTTCATGGTATATGATGCATGCTCGCAATATCAACCAGGGACATTTCAGTAAACACAGCCTTACAGTCTTCGCAACTATTCCACACCATTTTTTTCTTCACCTACATTACTGTCATAAGTTGATACCTACGTCAGATGTGTTTTTTCTATTCTGTATGGGTCGACATGAAATTGACGGGGCTGCCGTTTTGTGGTTTTTCAAATTAAGGCATGGGCCTTTAACATGAGGAGATACATGGGATACATGAGTGATTCTTCTGACTTGACCTGTAGAACCACATGATCCCAGACCAGGCTGCGTAGTCTGAACCTTGACACCGACTGACTCCCCTAGCTATCTATCTGCTGCTCCACATTCCTCACTGCTATCAGACTGAGAAGGAGAAAAGGACATGTCCCCCTTGCCACAATATCAATATTTTATTTCTGAGAATTCAGAGGTATCACTCTGTAGGTACGTGACACCACGGCATCTTTTGATTTCAGCTTCTTTTTTTCTTGTTTACCCTAGATTACAAAAAGACAACATTAAAGAGCCACTTTTACAGAAGTAGTCTAGTAAGTTGATGTGTGTTATTGTTTGTTGAATACATTTGCTATTTAAATTTTAGTCCTATTAGTTAATATGCTCTCAATCTGTGTGATGCATACTGATGAGTACTTTTCTCATGATGAAGGCATGAACACATGAACACTCAACACTGCCATCTGCTGTTGAAGAGAAACGTTTAAGTAAAGGGAAACGGGTATGTTTGACATAGGCAGCAAGAAAAGTGCTGACGCCTTTTAACAAAGTATATTTTATTGTATTGAGGGTTTCATATAGACATCTATTTTTCATTCAGTTGAAAACAAATGTCAAGCATAATTTAAACCGGTATTCAATGATGTCAGTGGTTAAAATCACTACCATGATCTTCTCAAGAATAGTTTTCCTGCTTTGTTGTATATGTGGACATACTGTTAATGAATTCCAATGGGTTGGAAATAATAGAAAATGTCATTTTAAATATCAATCACTCAACATTAAACAAATGATACCCAATTTAGTCAGTCCTGCCCTAAACTATCTTTTAGTATTTTTTTCATTTGTCCCCCTTTGATACATTCCCAAAATGTTTTGCATAGCAGCAGTCAAGTTTTCAAGACATTGGACTTACAAGAAGCAAAGTGTCACTTGTCACATAATGATGCGTTTTGCTTCATACGATGCATTTTGCATCATACGAGGCATTTTGCATCATCATGATGATGTGGCAAGTGACACTTTGCTTCCTGTAAGTCCAATGACTTGAAAACGTATCTGCTGACATGCAAAACATTGTAGGACTGTATCAACAGTGGACGAAGATATAGTTTTTGAGTGGAGTTTTCCTTTAACCCCGATACCTTTATTTCCCCGTCCCTCAATGTCTGGGGAGACTGAGGGATGTGGCATCAAGCCACGTTATTATTTCCATATGCCTAGCTGAAAAGTTCAATGGTGTCGTCTACAGTAATGTACAATGGGTTCTAACTGCTCATACAGTTTTTTTTAATCAACAGCCAGAAAGAGAATGTGACAGTGTGGGAGAATAGGACATAAGAGCAAGAGTGAAACTTACAGTAGGACTCTTTTTACCCTTACCATCAAAATAACCGTAACTGAAATCTCCTTTCATTGTTTCACATTTCATAATCAAACTGCATTATTCTTAATTGGCATATTCAAATATCTTTGGACATAATATAAGGAGCCATATTTGGCTTGAACATTTTCCAATGAGCACAAACAATAAAACAAACCAAACACACAAAAGTGCTTATTCAGACCATTCCAAACCCTCCACCAAATTTCTTAACAATAAAACCATGTACAGGTATTAAGTCTATGATCTTTTCCGTCTGCTTTCAAAGTTTCTGAAGTTGACGGGTCTAATCTTCATCTCGACGAACTGGATTGAATGTTCGTGTCCCTTCCAATGGAACCAGTTGATACCCTGAAAAAAAGTATACTTTTTTTTTTACATGTATATATTTTACACACAGCAGTATTTCAAAATTATATGTAATAAATGAAATAATCTTGTTTCATACTCTGACCAGAATATAATATATGCACGCACACACACACACACAGACACAGACACAGACACACACACAGACACACACACACACACACACACACACACACAGACACACACACACACACACACAGACACACACACACACACACACACACACACTGATAGCAGAAAGGAAGTCAATACTTTGTAGGTCACACTTTCCGTACCTTGCTGTGACTATTGTCACCATATTTTCCCATGAGGTTGACACGATGGCAGTTCTTGTACCAGAAGGCACCCTTATAGGACAGGGCACAGTTGGTTACTGCAATGTCATTGTCATTGTCGTACGTGGAGAATGGCCGGCCATGGTGATAGGTCAGAGAGTCACCTAGGAAACAAAAGAAGCACATTGACTGGTGTGAAGAAATATGGATAGTTCAATCATAGTTATATTGTTTGTCTTTTATTGTGACTTTCTTTTACTGTAAAGTGTATTGGTATATTTCAATGGAATTTTAATGAAGTTAGATTTGATTATATTTTCTATGCAGGAGCACTAGTAAACACATCTATTATCATAATTGTCCTTACCTGCTGTGCCGCTGAACCCTCCTAAGTACATCTTGTAGCGGCTGCGTTGCTCTGCAATGGTGAAATTGTCATACTGAGCGTAGGCCGACTCCCCGTTGTCCCTCAGGTCCACACGCAGCTCGTACTGGCCTGCTGCCGTCATCTTATGGAGGTTGGCCAGACCTGAAACAACAGGAAATGAAATCACAGTGCCATTCCTTGTTTCCTATGGCTCAATTGGTTAGAGCATGGTGATGCAACCCCAGGATTGTGGTTTGACTCCTGCATGGGCCACAAATACTGAATAAAGAGAGGAAATTAAATACAAATAAAGGAGGGGTGGAGAGATATGGACTCACCAAACCAGAATTCATCATTCATGTCCCCAAAGCCAACGGTGTAGTTCCTCCAGTTCCTGAAGAACTCCAGCTTTCCATTCTGACGCCTCAGGAACACCTGTAAAGAGAGTTGACAGAACCTGTCATATACAAGCCCTGATGTCTTTGGTTTAGCTTCAGTGTTATCACAAACATCTAAAGGTCAATCCAATCAAACCTGGTGTTTAGACCTGTGTGTGTGTGTGTGTGTGTGTGTGTGTGTGTGTGTGTGTTTGTTCTTCACCATCCATCCGCCTCCGTCGGTGGTCATGTCACAGTAGACCTGGATGGGCTGGCTCTCGTCCCCTCCCAGGTAGATGTTGTAGGTGCCAGAGATCGTGTCTCCATTCAGCATAGCCTGCGAGCAGTCCTTAGGGTATCTGTACAAAACTCCAACTACACACACACACACACACACACGTCAAAAACAGTGCACTACATAGGAAATAGGGCATCACTTGAGATCTGCCCATTTTAAAGCTGTGATGGTAAGGAGGTGGTGTGTGTAGCAGTCTACTTACTGGTGGTGAAGACGGTGGTGACGTGACGGCTCCGCTGGGCTCCAGCGATGGCCTGTAGCCTGACACTGTATTCTGAAGAGCCAACCAGCTCACTCATGCTGTACGATGTGGCTGTAGGATTCAGGACAACTTCCTGTATCAAATCAAATCAATCTTTATTCATAATGTAAAGCACTTTGGAAAATGCACAGTGAGGGAAAAAAGTATTTGATCCCCTGCTGATTTTGTACATTTGCCCACTGACAAAGAAATGACCAGTCTATAATTTTTATGGTAGGTTTATTTGAACAGTGAGAGACAGAATAACAACAAAGAAATCCAGAAAAAAGCATGTCAAAAATGTTATAAATTGATTTGCATTTTAATGAGGGAAATAAGTATTTGACCCCCTCTCAATCAGAAAGATTTCTGGCTCCCAGGTGTCTTTTATACAGGTAACGAGCTGAGATTAGGAGCACACTCTTAAAGGGAGTGCTCCTAATCTCAGTTTGTTACCTGTATAAAAGACACCTGTCCACAGAAGCAATCAATCAATCAGATTCCAAACTCTCCACCATGGCCAAGACCAAAGAGCTCTCCAAAGATGTCAGGGACAAGATTGTAGACCTACACAAGGCTGGAATGGGGTACAAGACCATCGCCAAGCAGCTTGGTGAGAAGGTGACAACAGTTGGTGCGATTATTCGCAAATGGAAGAAACACAAAATAACTGTCAATCTCCCTTGGCCTGGGGCTCCATGCAAGATCTCACCTCGTGGAGTTGCAATGATCATGAGAACGGTGAGGAATCAGCCCAGAACTACACGGGAGGATCTTGTCAATGATCTCAAGGCAGCTGGGACCATAGTCACCAAGAAAACAATTGGTAACATACTACGCCGTGAAGGACTGAAATCCTGCAGCGCCCGCAAGATCCCCCTGCTCAAGAAAGCACATATACAGGCCCATCTGAATTTTGCCAATGAACATCTGAATGATTCAGAGGAGAACTGGGTTAAAGTGTTGTGGTCAGATGAGACCAAAATCGAGCTCTTTGGCATCCACTCAACTCGCCGTGTTTGGAGGAGGAGGAATGCTGCCTATGACCCCAAGAACACCATCCCCACCGTCAAACATGGAGGTGGAAACATTATGCTTTGGGGGTGTTTTTCTGCTAAGGGGACAGGACAACTTCACCGCATCAAAGGGACGATGGACGGGGCCATGTACCGTCAAATCTTGGGTGAGAACCTCCTTCCCTCAGCCAGGGCATTGAAAATGGGTCGTGGATGGGTATTCCAGCATGACAATGACCCAAAACACACGGCCAAGGCAACAAAGGAGTGGCTCAAGAAGAAGCACATTAAGGTTCTGGAGTGGTCTAGCCAGTCTCCAGACCTTAATCCCATAGAAAATCTGTGGAGGGAGCTGAAGGTTCGAGTTGCCAAACGTCAGGCTCGAAACCTTAATGACTTGGAGAAGATCTGCAAAGAGGAGTGGGACAAAATCCCTCCTGAGATGTGTGCAAACCTGGTGGCCAACTACAAGAAACGTCTGACCTCTGTGATTGCCAACAAGGGTTTTGCCACCAAGTCCTAAGTCATGTTTTGCAGAGGGGTCAAATACTTATTTCCCTCATTAAAATGCAAATAAATTTATAACATTTTTGACACGTTTTTCTGGATTTTTTTGTTGTTATTCTGTCTCTCACTTTTCAAATAAACCTACCATTAAAATTATAGACTGATCATGTCTTTGTCAGTGGGCAAACGTACAAAATCAGCAGGGGATCAAATACTTTTTTCCCTCACTGTAGCTGTAAAATAGCCATTGGTGATCGATTGTGGGGGCCAGTATGCGGACTAATAAACCCGTACCCGGACCGTGCCGTCGGATGAGGTGAAGGTGAGGATGTATCCAGTGATGGCGGCACGCGGAGGCTTCCAAGTGAGAGTGGCACTGTCTGTCTGGATGTTACTGGCCGCCAGGTCACGAGGAGAATCCACATCTACAGACACAAACATGGAGGTGGAAGGATCACATACAACACTATGTTAAACATGTGCTACATAATGATATCACAGATGTGTTAATATCGAATACATGGACAATACAATACTGCACTTCATTGAATTTATGAACAATAAAATACTACATCAGACTCAGTGCTCATATATATATCCTACACTGCCCCGTGTAGCTCAGTTGGTATAGCATGGCGCTTGCAACACCAGGGTTGTGGGTTCGTTTCCCACAGGGGGCCAGTATGAAAAAATTGTATGCACTTACTAACTGTAAGTCGCTCTAGATAAGAGCGTCTGCTAAATGAACCCCCCCCCCCCCAAAAAAAAAAATTTAAAAATATATATAGCCTCTAATTGGAGAGCTACCCGTGGTGAATTCAGTGGTGGTGGTGCCACTCTTATGTGCATCCGTCATGGCGTACACTCCAACTGTGTAGTGGGTGGCAGGAACCAGGGAGCCCATCTCAAACTCCACCGTGTTTCCAGAAACATGCTCCATCACAGGGGACACTGCAGACATCAGAGGAAAGAGAGCAATATTACCACCAGGTTACCACCACCAACAGTCCTATTGTGCTGTGTCTATTTGGCTAGTGATGAGGGATACCATTGATAAATATACATCATGTACACAAATACATGTCAGCTCCTGGCAATCTGTGCCTTGGGCCTCTTGTGAAACACACACACCTGAATCTGCACTGTAGGTGATGACGTAGCCATCGACGGTGGCCAGAGCTGGTTTCCATAGCAGCAGGGCAGGTCGTGTCTGTGACGTTGACAGCAGAAAGACCCTGAGGCCTGTCCAGAGCTAAGGAGGAGGAAAATACACAGCTTTGTTACAGACACAGGCCTGCAGCCACAACAGCTTCAGCAAACAAACACCGGTACTGACAGTATTATGACCTGCAAACAACCCCATACAATGATGTCATACTTTTTCCAGGAATAATTGACTGGGGTGGGACAGAGTAGAGGAGTACCATATGTGCTGTTGAGTATGAATGTACTAAGCTAATGATTTATGAAATGCTCATAATGTCTATGCATGACAGAGATACTTCTGCCTATCCTCCTCATAGCACTGTGACTTGAATGTAAATGTATTATATCATTTCATGTATTTAGTAAAAGGTCAATTGTGTAAATGTATGCTAAAGAGTAGTCAGACACCTGTGGTGATGTTCTCTGTCCCCGGGTCACTATCCTCCAGGCCCTTCACAGCGAAGATGGTCACCTGGTAGGTCACTCCTGGCAACATGTTAGGCAGCAAGGCCTGGGTCTCAGTCCCATCTGCTAGCACTGTCATTGGGCTACCTGTTGATGAGAGGAAATATTGCATATATGCTACTTTACATTATTCTATTCAAAAGTAAATAAATGTTCATTTATGTTAAATTGTACTGTTAAATCCACTTTAAGGAACTGATTTCATTTATGTTAAATTGTGCTGTTAAATCCACTTTAAGGAACTGATTTCCTTTCCCTCCCTTGGTAGCAGCTGGAGATATTCACAGTTTTACACTAGTGTAAATGATTGTGTGAAGAAACCTTGTGATTACTCTATATTCCACTAGAGAGAGTGCTTTGTCCAATTTGAAAAAAAAATGGAGAGAAAATTCCTCCCCCCATGACACATGAAGCCGTTTTGAGGCCTAAAGTACTATATAAATGCAATCCAATATCCTTATTATAATAGGTAGACTTTACTGCCACTATAAGATATAAGAGGCTATTCACTCACCTCCTTGGAGAGGCACATAGATGATGCGGTAGCTATCCACTCTGGCACGAGGCATGATCCAGTGGACTATGGCCGAGGACTCAGTAACTTCAGAGAAGCGGATGCCCCTTGGAGCGCCCAGGCCTGGCACAGCGATGAGGTCAGGGTTAAAAAGGCAAGCACAAAAATGAGAAAAGTTAGATTGATCTGTTTGAGTTTGTTTTTTGATCAGGAATCGATTCTACTGAGGTCAGTTTATTAAACGGAATAGGCCTATTGCCCTATGGTGTGTCAATATACACACTGACAAATCAGAAATGCACACAAAGACACACAAAATTCCATCTGCTGCTGAAAACAGACAAAGGCCCACCACAATCACCCCAGCCAGAGTAGGATTGAAACGTGCTGCAACCTGCTGCAATCCACAGATCAACAGATGTGCATATCACACATCCCTATAGGCTAAAAAGGGGGCTCTTTAGGGAGCACATTTCAATGCATGAATACTAACCCATGAAACTTTTGCCAAACATGCTACAAAAAGCAAAAATGTTTGCGTCTTTAACTCTAATCAATTTAGTGGTCAGTAAAATGTATAGGCTATGAAAATGAGACTATAAATGGGCATCAAAACACATGGACTTTGAGCTGCATTTAAAGCCAGGCATAAGAAGCAGCACAATCTAATGCAAAAACATGTCTCCATGTTCATGGTGAAAAAGAGACATGCAAAACCAATTGTTAGGTCCCTTGATGCTCACAGGACTATTAGCACATCAAATAATGATCAGTGGCAATTTAGATATTTCCCTGAAGGCATACACCTTGGAAAAGAAAACCAGTGAAAACAAAAGGTATTATTACAAAACCCAGTCAAAACAAAGATCAGTATTGCATCTTGTAATCAAGACACCTGTTTCCAGAGTAACCAGACGAGAGATGTGAGATGCAGACCACATTGTGCTTCGGCATTCACTGATAGTTCAGACTGTCAGAAAATAGTCGCTCTATTAAAATACCTGTTCGAGCAACACCGGTAATTGGTTGGGAGCGCTGTTCCAAAGTGACACCGTACAGCTCGATTTCGTACTCGGTGCCGCCGGTGAGTCCCGTTAAAACCTTGGTTCGCTCGTCACCGAGGACGTTGACTTCTTGTGGATGCGCAAACTTTGTGGAGTCCCTAATTTTGATCACAAATCTATCAAACATGTCTTCATCCGCGGTCCAGGCCAGGCGAAAACTGTCTGAAGTGATGTCCGAGACGAACATGTGCTCCACTTCTGGCTCAGCCTCTGGTTGGAAAGGGAATTCAATTCGACGTATTTGTTGAGAAACATTCACCCAATTACTAGAAAACTAAATTGACGACGGCGACCAGATGGAAAAGGTGAGAGAGTAGGCCTCCTAGTTTTTGGTTAAATTCTCATGAACTTGCTACCACCACTCTGACATGCTTTCAAATCGTCAAGGTGCTTTGCATTCCTTCGTTATTTTATTGTGAAATAGACACGTTCATGGTTGTGGAGACATTTATTGACGTCAATTAGCAAAATCGACATCCGCAATCACTATTCTCCATGATTGTTGCAACAAGCCAAGGATTTTGGCCATAACAATCCATCCACACCTGCATGCGTCCTCAATGCCAGCCCTGCATTCAGTGCATTCAAAGGTAAAGAAAAAAATGAGTGGTTAGGTCAACTGACATTTCATGCTGAAAATGCCATGTTGATTTGTCTGTGTTTTCCTACTTATAGGCTAGGCCTATTATCCAATCAATGGTCCATAATCATCCTCAGACATTTTCAACTCGAAACAACTTAATGCCTTATCAGTCTAATATTTACAGGTGAAACTTAGATAAGGCTTGATTAGCCTACCTCAAACAATTCTTAGTGGTGTGACAGTGAAATGTGTCCACTGAAAATGGCATCCTTTACACCGTAACGTTCACAGTGTCACATTACGAGAAATCTGAGGGGAAAACACAGTTTAAAATATGAAAACATATTTTCATATTTTGAAGAGCGGAAAAAGCAGAGCACCACTTCTTCGCTGTAACAATTAAGCTTCAAACCGAAAACACAGGCAAGACCTCCATGATGCTTCAAACAGGAAGAGGATGAAGAACAGATTAAGAGTAATCAGATCGCTCTAGAAAAGGAAGGGAGATGTTGGAGGAGGTAGTTGGGTTGTGTGTTGAGGCTTCCCCACCAAAGCAAGGCATTGATGGCATTAATATCTCATCCTTTCTCAGAAGATTACAGTGGAAAGGTCTACTAGTTTTTGTGATACAGTATAAGTACAAGTTGGGAATCCATCACCCCATTGAGTAAGTAAAGTATACCTGTGTTTTCACTTCGACTGAATAGTGACCAATCCCACAAGCTTTCCCAACTGACACCTCACCGTGATGGAGAAGCCTCTTTGTACAGGGCCAAATCCTAACTCCAAGTTACTTGTGTGCATCTTAGGATTTCGACCTACAGTGTGTGCAGTGTGGCCAGAGGTATCATGCACCTTATTTTTTGAGGGGGCACTGATGACCGAATTCAATGTATTTGAATGAATTGAGAGAAAGATCATCTATATCTTGTATACCTTTTATCCTACAAATTGATCAAATTGGTAGGGGGCTCATGCCCCCTCATTTTCAACGGCGATGACGCCTCTGTGGGTGGTACCTGTCACAGCCACTGTGGTCAGTGGGCGGGAGACCAGCCCAGTACTGGATATCCCAGTCAGCCTGACCTCATAGCCTATGCCAGTGATCAGGCCCCAGATGTCCAGGAAGCTCTGGTTGCCAGGGACAGTGAACTCCTGAGGCTCCAGTAGCCAGCCTGAGTCTGACACCACTATGTGAAAGTGGCCAAAGCCACCAGTAGAGGGAGCCCCTTCCTGTTGTTGAGGATGATGCGCCTCCCAGGACACGCGGAAGCCGAATGGGGTGATCTCCGAAATGGTCAAGTTTTCCACTTTGGGTAATGATGCTGAAGGGAGCGGGAGTTTTTTGGGTCGGGGTGAGGAGGGATAAGACGTGGTGAGAATACATATGGTAGTTGATGTGTGCAATGATTGCAAAAGTACTTGTAGTCTTCGGCACAGTAGAACCCCAATTCAATTAGGATAATCTAGTCATGCACATTGCCTAAATAGATTGATATCATGTTCATAAATGGGTGACAAACTCCTAATAAAAAACTGTGGACATATCATGTAGATACAAGGGGGTGTTGAAACACTAAAGTGAAGATTCTCATCCAAGAATATTGTGTCCAAAACACCTCTTTGTAATGTTCACTTGTACACTATTGAAAACCTGCAAATTAGTCCCGCTTAAACCTGGGTTGGTCCCTGGAGAGGTCATGTGCAATTATTTAGCTAATGGGACACACATTTCTGCCCTGTCAGTGTTTTAAAATATGTGTTAAGATATGAGTAAATGACATAGTACCTGTGACGGCATGGGATAAAAGGGAAGGGGTGCGGCGGCCATGAGAAATACCGTACAGCTCAATGTCATAGTCAGTGGCGTCCACTAGGCCAGTGACGGTAATGTTACGGACCTCGCCAGATGGCGTGAACTCCAGTGTATCAAACAACTGTTCAGGGTCACTGACCCGGATAACAAAGCCGTCAAAGTGACCAGCCACTGTGCCCCAGGACAGGGTAAAGTTATCGGGGCTAGAATCGGACACAGCTATTGCGCCCAACTGTGGGACAGCCTCTGGACAAAAGAGAATAGTGATTTTGAATTAGGGGAGATGAGGAGTATGATATAAAAACTATGGTTGCAACTATAAAGTTATGATTATTTTCATAGTCTGGGTTTGACTGCTCATGAGCTAGTTAAGAGTAATAGCTTTTGAATTCAGAATTGTAATATGTTATAATGAAACATATGGAGAAAAAAAATACATGCGATGCAATACCTGTGGTGACTACAGCGAATAGGGGCTGCGTATTCTGTCCAGCGGAGCTGGCGTACAGTTTGATGTCGTAGGTTGTACTCCCCTTGAGGCCAGTCATAACTGTGTCGCGTGCCACTCCAGGCAGGGTGCGGCCCATGGCCTGCGAGGGCAAAGCAGACTCTCTGACTTCTACTATAAAGTTATCAAAAGCCTTCTCCCCCGTCCTCCACGACAGTGAAAGTCTGTCTGAGGTAACGTTAGAAACAACTAGCCTGGACAAGTCAGGCTCTGCAGCTACAGAGGAGAGAAAAATCAGCATTCATTCATTTTTTTAAGGGTGGCACACTGTTACTATCCTTTTTTTCCCCCTCAATTTTCCATTGAATCCAGTGTCAAACACTTCAAGTGATCCAGATTATAATGAAGTCAATGGGTAGTCACCAAAAAATATTATTTTATATAATAATTAAGTGTGCTCAAGAAAAATTATCAAAAAAGCATTGTAAACGTCAATATGGAGCAAAGTAATAATGTGCTCACTCTGGCTTTAGAAATAAATAAAATAGAAATACCTGTTGATGCAATAATACTGACAGCATGGGTTCGCGATCCCTTGGCAATCCCAGTGAGGTATGCTATATAGTCAGTGCTGGGCTTTAGCCCTGTGATGTCATGAGACATTGCATTCTGGGATATTTTATATTCCTTTGGCTCCTTCAGCCAATCTGAATCAATAATCTCCAGGACATAACCGTCAAACTCTCCCTCAGTGCCATTCCAGGAGATGGAGAAACTCTCGGACGTTAAATTAGATACATACAGATTGCCAACCACTGGCTCGCTCACTAAAGGAAGAAACAGTTATTGGATTGGAGCTAAAATGTGAAATGCAATATGCCTATTGTCTATGAAATCACTATTTTGGCTGCTACATATATTAGCTATCTAAGGGGGTGATAATAGATAATAGATGATTTTGTTTTGTTTATCAAAGATATAGGAGAATAATAAGTTCAATTTCACATGGCACTCACCTCACACCTGCCATTCTCGATAGTCTTTGAATATAATGAAAAATGAATGACATGCACGTTTTCATTCTGACAATACAATGGCAAGCTTTGGAGGTGTGGTGAAGACTAAAGAAAGGTGAAAATATATTGCAGTGTAACACATCAGAACTGATCATATTGTGTCACATGAATAATAATAGCATTTGTGCCATATAAAGTGTAAGTGATATCATCATTATTCCAACTTAAGCCATGTCAGGACTAGCTCTTATTCTAAAAATAGATGTGCATTTTTTGTTCAGTGCACAGACAAGACAGAGTAAGACACTGACATAGACACAAACAGGGAGAGTGACACAGAGCCAAAGTGCCGGAGAGAGAAAGAAACTCAACAGGACAGGGTATCCATGACAATAAAAGGTTGCTTCAGATTTGCTAGACTTGACAAGTATGCTTTTTGACGAAAGTGTACAGTTGAATTTAGTGTCAAAACTTAAGGCAGGGGTCTCCAACTCCGGTGCTGGAGAGCTACTGGGAGTGTAATGTAAGGTTTTGTTCCAGCCCAGCACTAACTCACCTGTTTCAAATAATAAACTATTCACCTGTAGTTAGTGCTGGGCTGGAACAAAAGCATGGATACTCAGTAGCTCTCCAGGACGGGAGTTGGAGAACCCTGGGCTAGAAGACAGTGGACATGTTGTTGGTGAGATACTACATTGCCAAACCCAAGCAGGAGAGTCATTCACTTATGATGTTAATAACATGGATGGGTGATGATGTTAGAACACACTCCATGCCTTTGGAAGAGTTTGTTGACAAGGGAAAGAGAGAACTTATGTGCAGGGGAGACATTCACAAACAAGTTAAGAGTAGGACAATAATTTGCTATTTTTGTTGCACTGTAGTTGGAATAAACAATGTTTCACAAATATCATATCTAAAAGAGGAGTTGATGTTCTTACCCCACACATACAGTACATAGTATTCATTGTTACAGGAGGTTGGTGGCACCTTAATTGGGGAGAAACGGGCTCGTGGTAATGACTGGAGCAGAATCAGTGTAATGGTATAAGATACATCAAACAAATGGTTTCCAGGTGTTTGATGCCATTCCATTTGCTCCGTTCCAGCCAGCTGTTCTCCCCTCAGCAGCCGCCACTGTTCATTGTATACTATTAGGCCTACATTTCCAGTCTCTCTCGTACTGAAGCCAATTCATAGACATCTAATGTCACTCAGCCGTTCTGGCCACTCAGTTAAAGCATGACTCCAACAGGCAAACAAGCTATAGGTTAAGGGGGGGGGGGGGTTGATGGAATGATGACGAATGGACACTGTTTAATGTGGATGGGAGGGAGGAGGTGTTGGTTGGTTTTCTTTTTCAATCATTGCAGCACATCAAAACTCACCACGATGCATGTAATGGGAGGAGGGGAGGGCTTCATGCACTCAGGTCATGGGATTGAATGTGAGGAGGGGGCGAGACAGGGTGAGGTTGGTCATTTGCGGACAGCTTGCTTGTTTCAGTTATAGGGTAAAGGTTTGTGTGGGTGATGCCCAGCACCCTGCCCTGTAGTGAAAGACTGACAGAGTGGCTGGAGGGTAAGAATGACATATGGCATGGTGTTGTTAGAATGAAACATTGTCATTGGTCATAAAAGGCTCAATTGAAGGGTTACGTCAGTGATCTTGCTTGCTTGCTACGTGCAGTGCTGTGGATACTTGAATGTGAATGGAAACAGGCAAGTGTGTGTGTGTGTGTGCTGTTCACCACAGATCCTAACCGAAATAGAGAGAAATTGCTCAAAAGGCAGAAAAAAATAACAAGTAAGAAAGAGAGAGGGATAAGGACAGAACCTTGGGGGACACCTCCATTCGCAGGTACCTGTAGTGACTTCAGTATACACCGGCTCCTGGAAGGAGCCCTGGCGGAGCCCGTACAGGCCAATCCTATACAAAGTGTTAGGACTCAGGCCAGAAATGCCCAGGTTGAAGGCATCAGCCGACAGGGTGAGGTTCTCACTCTCTGGACCTCCCTCTAAGTTTGTCACCTCAATGACAAAGCTCTCAAACTCCCCGTCCTCGGGAGTCCAGTACACATTGAAGCTGTCCCATGTCACGTCAGAGACTGTGAGGTTGGCCACCACAGGCCTCAGCTCCTCTAGCAGACAAACAGATCATAGTACAGTCAATAAAATATACAGTATATGAAATATATCATAAATCGATATTTCACATCATATTATATTTTATATCCCATAATCAGGGATCATCAACTAGATTCAGCCATAGGCCAATTTTTTTCTTGAGCGGATGGTCAGGGGGCCAGAACATAATTACAAATCATTTGTATACCACAAATTGACTGCAAGAAGCCCAAACAGATATAATATTTGACTAAAACAATCATTTCAAACCTTGCTTGCATTTATATTTGATCACATATACTGTATCTCTCTATTATGCATGCAAATACTTAGAATAGAATAGATTTCCAAAATTGAAATCACTTGGAGCTGACTTGCTGGAGTTTTTAGTCTTTTATGTCCAACAATAAAAAATTTAAATACAACAACAAAAAAACTTTGGGGCAAATAAAATCAACCGAGGGCTGAAAGTTAGGGAACCCTGCCATATATATTGCATATATTTCACATCAACTATACAATGTATTGCAGGGATTAAACAGTGATGTGTTTCAGCAGCACTTTCTTAGTCAGTTATGATGACACAGAACACATGAATACAAAAACAGATGGAAGAATCAGAGGATGTATGAAATTAATAAGGATAGGATGGAGGGAGGGATAGAGAGAAAGATGACTGATGGTTATGGATGTCTATGGCAAATAAACACTGCTCCATGTACCTGTATTGGCAAAAGCATGAAGAGGCAGAGACTGCTCCCCCTCCACCTTCCCATACAACGAAACCTCATAACGTGTCCCAGGGGACAAGCCTTCTATATGGGTCTTCCTGGCACTTCCTGGTACCATGGTCACATGAGCTTGTGCCATCCCTGACAGAGCATTCACCTCCACCAAAAAGCTATCAAAGGCTTCATCTGGGGCTGACCAGGCTAGCCTCACGCTAGTGGGGCTCACGTCTGTGACATTGAGGTCCCCTAGCGTCTCCAGGCTGGATCCCTCTGGTTCAGGTTCAGCCCCAGAGGGGAGGTCCCCCGTGGTGTACAGAGATGTAGACGTAAGCCCCTCTGTGATCAGAGGAGCCAGGGGAAGGACTGTTGGATGAACAGCTCCTGTGTCAGGAGACTGTGTTGTCTGAGCGCTTTTGACACTCAGTGCGACTACGTCAGTAGAGGTAGACTTGGGTGCTAAATTAAAGTACATTCAAAAGGATTAAATGTGTAACCTGTAACCTCTAAAGGGGAAGAATAAAAACAAAAAGAGTGGTTAACCTGTGGGAAGAAGATCTGGTTAGAAGAAATAACTGGTGGAGTAAAATATTAATCATAAATACCCACAAAAGCATAATGATTGATTACAGCAACAAAAGGTACATTGTCTTTTGTCTCATTTTCTCCCATTGAGGTTTGGAAGGGATAATTCTGCATTCATCATTCATCAACATTTTCTCTCTATGGTGCTGTGCAGGTTCTCTTGTTGTCAGGGACCATAAACTTCCACATGCATCGGAGACGTACATTTACACTGAGCAGCTCATGCATTAATGGCCCCTGAACGAGGGCCATTAATTTTTGAAGGTTCCGAATAGTCCACCGTAGTGACAGTACCCAGTACACTTCAAATGGATGAAGAAGCCATGCACTGCCAAAGTTATCCAACAACTTTCTCTATGTTCCAATATCCATATTAGGTTACCACTAGTGTACCATGCAAGTGTGGATATTGGAACAGAACCCTGGTCGAACACCTTAGAGTTTGATTCAAGTCTTGTTATTTCAAGATGCATATGTTCTTTTAACATTGTCCTTTGCAAGCAATACTGTAAACATTTGAGGATGAAAATGCAATGTGGATGGGATCGCAAGGAATGACAGTGAAGTGGATGAGTTTGTTGGCACAGACATACAGAGAAAAAAATGGTTGCTTTTAAAAACTCTAATGAAGGAGGAAATTGGTGTGCAAATGTAGTCTAATTGACTTTTCTGGATGTCATGCTGATCTGGAGGGAAACAGTGGAGACATGGTGACCTCTCTGAAGTAGCCATTCCGAGGAATACACAGATTTTCTTAATGCTTTATCTCTTCAGCTAGAAGGTATCAACTTTTCTGATAACAAACCTCTTTGGGGGGGGGGGGGGGGGTTTCCACAAGGTGTTTTTAAACAACCCATAGATAGCATTGTTGCTGACATAAAGTTGCAAATTATGCCCTGCAAATGACAGCATTTACAGTCACAGTATCCATTGCTATATTTGCTATAACCAATTTTAGTATTGTCCTTCATCTGAATTTCTCTGGAATAGAGAAGGCATGGATTCCTCTTCATAGTTTGAAAGCAACACTTTCCGTTTTAGGATTGCCGTCCTCAGCATGCAAGAAGTGACTGGATGGAATGAAGCCAAATGGTCATTTTGTAAAGATGGTATTATCTCAAACCCTTAATATCATGCCATGCGTACTGATCCACTGCAGTTTAAAATTGCAATACCTTCATGCAGAACATGAAAGGCTTGGTTTTGAATTTCGCAACTCTTTTGTTCAAATCCTGACTTTGTTATCCAGGTAGACTTAAAATGAGCAACGTTCAACAACAAAGGGATATCTATTGTACTGAAGGCATACAGCCCAAAAGTAAAGCATATACCTGTAACGGTGACTGCTTCAAGCGGGGAGGATCTTTTGGCTATTGCTTACTCCGTAAAGCTTTACTCGATATTCTGTGGATTCCCTCAGGCCTTGAATTCTAGAACCTTTGGCATCTCCACGGAGATGGACCTCTTTTACATCCCATAATCCCAGAGTGTCTCTACATTCTAAAATATAACTATCATAGGCAACATGTGCCTTTGGTTCCCACGAAAGTTCAAATCCTTCGGACGTTACAACTGAGACAGTCAGCTCTCCCAGCTCATCCTCGAGCTCAAGCCCCACCCCTGAGATCTGTAGGTCTGGGTCGGAGGGGTCTAATGACACAAAGCTAATGATATTGTCTTCCGAGCCTATGGGAGTGGTAAGCTCAGGGACCGGGTTGGCTATGTAAAACGTGAAAGAGGCTACAAGAGAAACACAAAGGCACAAATTCAGATAAGGGAGACATTTAGAGATTGTGTGTCTTTCTGCACTGTTACTGTTGACCTCAGTGTTGTCTATTTTTGTCCCACTATTAAAGTAAGTTGTAGCCTACAACTACCGGATCCTTGCCCTTAGTAATTCCACATTCTTCTGTCAAATATTGGTATGTATCTGAGGAAATTTGTGTTGTGAAAATATGTTTAGGTTGGTAAAGCTGTTGCAGATGTCTTTTATCTTTTAGGATTATAAAATGCAATTCAAAACTGTTAGCAGTGCAATAGGATCCATACGTTTAGCACTTGCTGAAAGTTTCCCACCAGAGACTGTTTTTTACCCAGACCTGAAACCAAATCTATGACTTCAAATTGGCAAAATATTATTGTATACTGGAAAATGGCTATTTGCAGAGAGCAGAACTGAAACTACTTTCTTAACGGCTCACCCATACATGTTTGTGCCTTGCAATATGAGGGTGGAGTCAATTGTGAAGATCCTGTTTCAACCCTCACCTGTAGATGTGGACAGGGTGGCAGGTGTGCTCTTCTTTGAGCCCCTCTCAGCAACCAGGGTGATGGTGTACATCATGTCGGGGGTCAGGTTGTTGAGGTTGTAGGTGGTGGCTGTTCCAGGGACCTCCACCTCCTCCCTCCGGCCATCCCTGGAGATGTACACCAGCCTGTAGATGGTGTTCTTGGCTCGTGGTCTCTTCCACACCAGGGTCATGCTGGTCTCTGTGGACTCGCTCACTTCCAAGTCCTTGGGCATATCAAGGTCTGTGGAGGAAAGTGGTAAGGTTTTCAATCAGCGATGATCAAGCCTTTGGTAAAATTCATAGGGTAGTGAAAGTATAAACATTATTTTTCTGTTTCAACAATGGATAGTATAGTGCTTCATATTTCATTTTGTTGTAGGATAGTCCTGAGGTTTAAACTGTTCTTTTTGCAAGTTTGTTTCCCAAACCACTTAGAAACATCAGAACCTCATAAATCACCTATGTTTGCCTCATATTGTTGCCTAATGTTATATCTACAACTGCAGAGTGTTTGTGGTCAGTTATGGTGGTGGATATTTGGACTCCTGTTGAACAGTGGCTATCCTATGAAAATGTGTCAACGTATGCTCTCACTGGTTGCTGCGTTTGTAGTGGCAGGCAGGCTCTTCCTCTCGTTCTTCATGGCGGTCACACCAATTCCGTACTCTGTACCCGGCTTCAAACCTGTAATGGAGAAGAACAGAGATTAATTTGAGTACCTGATTACCTGATTAGCTTCAGTCCTGCAATCGAGCAGAACAGAGATGGATTTGAGTACCTGATTTGATTGACATCAAGGGTAACAAAGTTGTGTTTGTCATTCTACTGACATAATTGCATGTTAGGATTTGGTCATGGTTGACCCTCACCAGTGATAGTGGCCTGAGTGTTTTCTCCTGATCCACGGGGGAACACCTCTTCGCCATGGGAACCCCCAGAGATAGGGCTGTACTTCACCCTGTAGCTGTCAACGTCTGCCTGGCTGTTTCTCCACTCCAGTGTGACGCTGTCGTCTGTCTGGCCCAGGGGCTGCAGGTCCTTGGGGGCGTCCAGGTCTGTAACAATGCAAGAAGACTGTTGACAGTCGACTCTTGATAAATCCAAGCGCGCATGATGTTATCAGGTACACTTTAAAAAAGGGACTGGACATGGAATTGAATTGGGACTGTAAAAATGTAGTGTACTCAAACACAGTTTTGCACTTATCAAAAGTGGATAAAATAAAGCCCCTACCTGTGGTGAATATCTCAGTGACTGGATCGCTGGTGCTGTCTCCCCTCCTGGAGACCAGGGACACCTGGTACTCAGTGTCTGGGCTGAGGCTGTCAATGCTGTACTGTTTGTCTGTGGTGGACAGGTCCACGCTGGTCCTCTCTGTGGGGTCGGAGTAGGGGCCGTAGGACACGGTGACACCGTCCACCTGAGCCACGGGATGGAACCAGGTGACCAAGCCTGAGCTGTCTGTCACATCACGCACCTCTACCTGCCTGGGCCCATCAATCCCTGGGAGAAAGGGACACAAGGAATACATTATGTTAAGGATGACTATTGCTGGCTCATTCATCCCCCATCCTCTCCCCTGTAACTATTCCCTAGGTCATTGCTGTAAATAAGAATGTGTTCTCAGTCAATTTACCTGGTAAAATAAGGATTAAATAAAAAGGGTGAAAGTATGTGCTGTTTGTTATGGACAATGATCACATAAATGTTTTAAGTGCTCCCTTTGGGCTAGAGACACAAGGACACAAGGAGTATTGGTTTTATTTTAACTACATTTTATGACCTGCACAACATTGCTATAATTATGGCATAACCAATGTCATTAACTGTTTGGTATGTGATGTCACTGATCTGTGTTCTGACATGACCTTTGGTAAGTTCCTGTGTTTATTTTCACAGGAGAAGTTTCTCAATTCCATGCTGTGGTGACTTCACTGGGTGATATAGGCCATAGGTTCACACTGTATAAATCACCTACTTCTATCATTCCTCATTCCTGAAAGCTGTGCTGAACTTAAGCCTGTATAAATAAATTACGCATGAGTCAGAAGTAGAAGATATTTATAGGCTCCATCAACGAGGAATTGTAAATTAAATGGCTTTTCCATGGACGAGGAGGTAGCATGGTTCACACTAGAAACCCATTTGACCTTAATGTATGGAGTAACAGTGGGCAGTAAAAGCTAAGGTAAACCCTTGTTAAGAGCTTATGGCAGGGCTCCTTGAAATATAAAAAAAAAGTCTATTGTAATATGCAGGCTGGGCTGAAATTCAGCATTGTTCACTTTTGCAAAAAATACTGTTGACCTCTACGGGATCGGTGTCCCTATACCGGGATGGTAGCTGCTCAATATGCAATATGTGACTAGACTAGTTGTAAACAATGCCAACTTTCCGGGACATGTCTTATATGGGCAGAAAGCTTAAATTCTTGTTAATCTAACTGCAGTGTCCAATTTACTTTAGCTATTACAGAAATAAAATACCATGCTATTGTTTGAGGATAATGCACAACAACAAAACACTTTTGTCAAGGCAACTGGTTTGATACATTCACCTCTGAAGGTAAATAATGTACTTACATTCAGTAATCTTGCTCTGATTTGTCAGCCCGAGGGTCCCAGAGATAAAATGTAGCATTCTTTTGGGGAAAACTCCTGGCAGACTTTATACAAAATATTGTGTAGTAATGTAATTCTTCACTGGATCAGTCTGAAACTTTGCACACACAATGATGCCATCTTGTGGACAAAATCTAAATTACACCTATATTCCTACATCACTGTCTGACCTTTCTCCTGTATTTCAAAGATGAGGCAAGAAAATACATGTTTTCTTGTTTGTATTATCTTTTACCAGATCTAATGTGTTACATTCTCCTACATTAACAAATTTCCACAATCTTCAAAGTGTTTCCTTTCAAATGGTACCAAGAATATTCATATCCTTGCTTCAGGTCCTGAGCTACAGGCAGTTAGATTTGGATATGTCATTTTAGGCTAAAATTGAAAAAATGGGTACAATCCTTAAGAAATTTAAATTGAACTGTGTGAAACGACAATGGGGGTTTAGCCACTTTTTCCATCTAATCCTCATGCCATGGCTGACAGTTAAATTGGTCTGTTCAGTTGTTCCTCTGTCTGCTTGAGTGATTTGTGAGGTGTAAGCATTTTCCTTATCCACCCCATGGGATGTGGGTAGTCACCAGGATGAATGGGAGAAGCCTGGTTTAGATTAATTAATGTATGACATGCACATACATATCTGCACCGGGCTAGGGGGGGGGGGGGGGGGAACATTACACACATTAAAATGTGGTGTAAGCTTACTGGTAGTGATGATTTTAGTAGACTGTGGTCCCCTAGTATTGTTCTTGATGATGCCCACTGAGACCTCGTACTCCTGACCAGGACCTAGCCCTGACTGCTCATACAAGGTCTGGGAGGATGGAAGGGTGGTCAGGGTTTTCCCACTCTCCTCTTTCTGAAAGGACAAATACATACTGTTTTTAATATACCATTTCTGGATTCATACATAAGACATAGCCTACTTACATATCCAACAGGCTAACTGAGGTAAGCCACATCAATGTGTCAATCAACAAAATAAATATTTCACACAGTTAATGTTGAGTTAAACAATAACAATTGTTACAATATTTCATTATTCCATGGTTATTTTAGCAGGTCTTTGATTGCCTCATAAGAATGCTGCAAACAAAGCTCATTTGGCCCATAGTGATAGGGATGAAGTGCTGATCATGGATCACAGGTCCTTAAATGTTATGTATGGGGCAATAAAGTCCAAGTGCTGAGGAGAATGGGATAAGCAATAAACACTGCTGAACATGTCCTGGCTGCCAGAGACCTCCTTGAGGAATGTTTAAACGAGGATACAGCCCTTTGTGAAAATGAACTTGGGGACATTAAGAAGAGTTTCATGGGTTATGGCTGCCCAGACCTTTGCCATTAGCAGCTGAGCAGAAAGTGTGCAAGTAACAATAAGCCCTTAGATTTGTGATCTGAGGCAATGCACAGTTATTTTCCACGTACCAGTTCACATCAACGTCATTCTTCAGTGTAAAGTACAGCACACTTCGGTAGTGTAAAAGCAATTTGTGGTTTATTGTGTATGTTTCATTTTTAACCTTGTTATTTTGAGTTGTCTGAATTGAAAAATGAACAACCCCAACCGTGATAGTTACTGCTACTTCACTGGACATGATAAATAGCCAAGCATTTCAAGAGCAAAGCCAGCTTGTGTAAATCTGTCATCTTGTCCCTGCTGTTTAGTGGAATTCTAGGCAAGACCCAGCAGAGATCGCTTGCAGAGAGATGGATAGATTGCAAAGAGATATGGACAGACTGACCATGTTGCGGATGTAGAGCTCCCAGGCATCAAAGGGAATGTCCAGCTGATCCCACAGCACCTCTACTGATGTCTCCCTCACTGATTTGAACTTCAAGCCTTCTGGTTCTGGCAGATCTGGCAGGACAGAGAGACACAATAATATGTTATGCCTGATGACAAAACCTTGTGCATCGAGACAGTGTGTGGTTTCAAACCTTGAAAAGCATCAGTCAAATCTAGTGGTTGTGTTGGAATCCCTTATTCTTAAAAGGAAAGCCTTGTGTAAACATTGTGCTGTGAAATGTTCTCCACTGGACTGAATACCATTCTGATTACAGTTAATATGTGCAAATAGGTTTTTATACTTTTATACTAAAGTGGATCATATTGCCATGAACCCAGACTGCTCAGGGACCCAAGTTTTCAGATCTTAGGCAAGATGTCTTATTACGCGAGCTTCGTTAAACGGGCATGACCTACGTGTGGCTACCCTGGCGCTGATTGGGATGCTCTTTTTGTTGCTGAGGATGGCATAGACGTTGATCAAGTACTCGATGCCAGGCTCCAGCTCGCTGACAGTGGCAGCAGTCTTGTCTCCGGCCACTGTGAACTCCTGATACAGACCCCCAGGACCATTTGGCACATAGGTGATCAGATACTCTGTCACCAGCATCTCATTATTCCAGGTCAGGTCCACTGTCTCAGTGGTGACCTCTGTTACAATCAGGTCCTTTGGAGGGGAAACTAAAGAGAAAGAGAAAGAAAGAAAATAGAGGGACAGAAAATAGTTATATTTTTGTCTGAGCTTTTTATTGTCTCAGACACTAAGTTTCCCATGCCCTCAATATAATAATATATAATATACTGTATATATTTCATTTAGCAGACACTTTTATCCAAAGCCACTCAGCCACTAACAATCCTCTACACAAAGCTAATGCTTTCCCCAGAATCACATCTGGTAGTGGTTTGGACCGCCAAAGATCTTTGAGACAGAAGTACAGACAACTGAAATGCACAGCTTTTGGCATCAGAGGAAATCATAGATGGAAGTTTTAATCCTTTTCGCAAAACCCCATTGAAATTAATTTAAATGGTTTCTCTTATTTGGGGATTTTATTACATTAAGAGTATAAAACATAACGGAAAAATAAGTAATTGGATATAATGTGGCATTCAACCAGCACATGGAAATATCAAGCATACAAAGTTAACAAATGAACTAAACTCAATTATCCCGTTTTTTTCTCTCAAAGAGTGGGTCAGTTGAATGAAACCATTCTTACCTTCTGAGCAGTCTTCTCCAATGTATCCCTCATCACAGAGACATTGTCCATTCACACAGCGGCCCTTGTCCTGGCAGTTGTTGAGGCAGCTCAGCTCTCCGCAGTTGTCTCCCATGTATCCCTCCTCACAAATGCACTTCCCATTAACACAGCGCCCCCTGTTGTTGCAGTTATCAGGGCAGGTGAGTTCAGAGCAGTCGTCACCCGCATAGCTGTCCTGGCAGACACATTTGCCATCCACACAGTATCCCTGGCCCAGGCAGTCATTGGGACAGCGCTTCTCACTGCAGTCTTCCCCTGTGAAGCCCTCATCGCAGACGCACTGTCCGTCAACGCAGCGACCGCGGTTCAGGCAGTTGTTGGGGCAGCTCAGCTCGCCGCAGTCCTCACCAGTGAAGCCAGCATAGCAGACACACCGGCCGTCCACACAGTCTCCACGGCCGTAGCAGTCCGAGGGGCAGGTCATAATACTGCAGTCCTCTCCACCAAAGCCTTCATCGCATACACACTGTCCGTTGACACAGCGGCCCCGGTTGAGGCAGTTGTTGGGGCAGGAGAGCTCAGAGCAGTCCTCTCCCTGGTAGCCTATGTCGCAGTGGCACTGCCCATTGACGCACTGTCCCCTGTTGTGGCAGTTGTTGAGGCAAGCTAGCTGGCTACAGTCCTCTCCTTGGTAGCCAGCATCGCAGATACACATGCCATTGAAGCAGGTACCTCTATCGTTGCAGTCACCAGGGCAGGTGAGCTTGGAGCAGTCCTCTCCGGTGTAGCCAGTGCTGCAGACACACTGGCCATCCACACAGAAACCATGACTCATGCAGTCGCTGGGGCAGGTTGTCTCCCCACAGTCCTTCCCGGTGAAACCTTCTTCGCAGTAGCAGGTTCCGTTGACGCAGCGTCCACGGTCATAGCAGTCGTTGGGGCAGATGAGTTCGGAGCAGTCGGAGCCCGTCCAGGGCTCTTCACACACACACTCCCCATCCACGCACTTTCCACGGCCTAAGCAGTTGTTCAGGCAGTCAGTCTGAGAACAGTCCTCTCCAGTGAAACCCTCGGCACAGACGCAGACCCCGCCAATGCATTGTCCGTTCTCACCACAGTCCACTTTGCAAACCTCAAGCAAACAGTCGTTCCCGCCAAAGCCCTCGAAGCAGATGCATTTCCCATCTACGCATCGACCTTGGTCCTGGCAGTCATTGGGGCATTCAGACTCGGTGCAATTGGGTCCCTTCCAGCCAGGCTTGCAAATGCAACCACAGGTGTCAGCGCTGTAGTTGCCACGGCCATTGCAGTAAGGCTTGGTCGCCACCTCACCTAAAGGAGCAGAATTTAGTGATTACAACCCTCTCAATCATAACCCCGCCCCTCATCCCCCAATTTACTTCTCTAACAAATGCCATTTAGAAATGTTGTAATCAAGTATTATCATCATAGGCCAGAGACATGTTTGAAAACCCAATTATGTCCTGAATAACAATCTTCTAATCAGCACAGAGTATGTCTATGCTTCGATTTTCATTCAATTTTGAAGAGCATTTTTCCCTGTAAAAGAGAAAGCACTGCTAAGCCCAACCCCACATTCAATTCCATTGAAGCTTCCCAGAGGTTGAGTAAAACTGATGTGCCTCTGAAGGAAGGGGACGTGATGAGGTGACAGCCGTCCTAAGCATGCTATAATATATCAGGATTTCTCAACCCTTTGTCATTCAAAACCACCTAAACTTGTCCCAATTATACTATTTTCAGTATCATAACTGTTTTGTTGTGTTTTCTAACCCTTTATTTAGGTAAGTTGAGTGAGAGCACATGATCATTTACAGCAACAACCAGGGGAGAGGAGAGGGGTTGAATGAGCCAATCAGAAGCTGGGGGTGATTAGATTGACATGAATACAATACTGTACCTGTGACTGGCTGAGCGCTGCAGAAGCCAGTGTCTCCAGTAGTGCACTGATCTCTCAGTGTGGACAGCTCTCCCTCCAGCATCTCCAACCTGCTCAGGAGGTCCTTCAAATCCGGGAGCCCTTTGGTGCATGCACACGCCTGCTGAGGAATGTTAATGCGGTGGGTGAAAACGATCTGGTTCTGCCCATCCAGGGTATGTTCGGTGGTGTGGAGGCCTGATGGCGGAACTGCATCCTGGGGCTCAAGGCTGGTACTTCCTGGCGCATCCAGGTCCACTGAGCACAAGGAGCTAGCGGGGACGTTGATGTTGTAGACATGGTTGAAGACCACTGGCTGGTCAGCACTGGGGAGGGTTATGTTGTCTCCGCCCGGGGCTGTCAGAGTCGCCCGTTTATGCCTAAGTATTTTTCTCACTAGCCCAGCTTGGCAGAGACTGAGAAGGAGAGGCAGGAAGAGGCAGCCTAGAATGCTTTTAGTACCCATGTTTGGCTCTCTTAACTGGACTCAGCTTTAGGAATATCGGGACAAAGTCTGGCCAAATCTGGAAAACAGTGTAGGGGCCCTGGAAGGTAAACAAAAGACATTAAGTCAAAGATAACCTCAATAATGCACATGGATAACTACATTTTCACAGGGTCACTCTGGGGAGACATCCATGACTGTAAAACTTGTAAAGGCAGACAATAACCTGTGCACTCTGTGAATTACAAGGCGGTAAAAATAGATCAACAAACACTGGGGAGGGTTTTACTTCAAGTGTGCAGGCTAATGGAGGTTGTTACACTTCAACACCTGCACAGTCCAATTGCATTCTGTCTATTATATCCTAGATAACAGCACCTGTAAAACTGACAATCCTACAGTCTGACACTCAAGGCCACAACATTCCAGAGGGATGAAGTTTGAGTTGTAAAGGTGTCCAGTGTGTATGTCATTACCCCCTCTAATCAATGGCTTTCACTCAAATGTAAATGTGGAAAGATTAAAGTATTCTCTCCCTCTCTTTATTGACCTATTTCTCACAGGGTGAACACTGTCTGTATAAGTTGTGAGTGATTGACACCTAACCCTTTAGTGTATTTTCCAGCTGAGGAAAGCCACCACTGACTGTGAGCCACAGTGAGCCATAGTTGGTTACTTTTTCTCCCGCTATTTAAACCCTAATATCCGCAGATTACTTTTGCATTGCGGGACATCTTTGGAAACTATGAAGGTTTGTGAAGTGTCAGCTGGATGTTAAACGACTGTGATCAAGCTAACCACAGAACTGACAGTAATTTTAGCTGGTAATTGACTTCACAACACAAACTGAGCCCCATGTAGCTTGTTAACCCATTGGCCCTTGAAAGAGTGTTTCCTTCAAGCACCAGTGATGGAAAATGTTATGTTTGTGCTTTTCTAATAACCCATTTCTGTGTTCATGCAAGTGACTGATTGAACGTTCCTGGGAGGAATCCTCACTACCAGTATCTGCAATTTGGCAGTACACCCAGAACCTTGTTTTGAGAATGAAAGGGATATCTCAGTTTCAAGTTCTCAGCTTGGAGAGAAGAAGCCTCGTGAGGGATTGGTCGGTCACATGCATGAACCAAACGTTAATGATGAATTAAGTATGAATAATTAATAATCTAAATCATGCAAATATGACTTGTCTGTGTAAGCAGTATACAAGAGAACTAACGGGAATGCCCTGGTGGAGCTCACTTCAGACCGGTACTTTATGCATCTAAGTTTGACTGTGACCTCTCCAGCTTGCTATTAATAAACAACGATTAATTTAAGATTGACTTTGAGTGTCCCGTGTGTAGAATTTTCACGACACACCATTTCCTTGGTCCAACAATTATATATACGTCAACACTTGGCCTATGTTTTTGTCTCTCTCTGAACATGCTGACAACCCCTACTATGTGTGTTCCTGTGAAATACATTTTGTGGGCAGTCCGTTATGGCCACAATGCCCCATAGAGATTTGAACCTGCTTTGTCTCATAAAACAGCTGAAGACGTGTTTAAAGGCCCAGCGCTGACAAAAACGTGATTTTCCTGTTTTAAATTTCCACACTATGAGGTTGGAATAATACTGTGAATTTGTGAAAATGATGAACGATTCACTGAAATGTCTGTCAATTATTAGAATTTCGTTAATTTATTTTCTGTGAGCTCAATGCCCGAACTGTGCAATGTAGTAGGGAGTTGTAGTTTCCAACAGGCCAATATTCTACATAGTTTGGCGCAGAAAACATGGTAATTAACTACAATGACCATAATCCACGTACTTGTCCAGTTGCTGTGGCCAGAGATCTGTATATAATGACAAGATGCCCTGACAATGGCGGGACGGCAGGCAACAAGTTTAGGTCCAAAATAAGCCCATAGCTTATTTTGGACAGATTTTGGCGAGAGTGAAACCTCTCGCTTCACCTCTTCCTCTCTGGTGTGGGGCAGACACGAAAAGGGAGACGGAGAGAAGAGATGGAATAACACGCAATCGAGAGGGATAGAGAGCAGTTGCTTTGCGAGGTATCTCTACCCAAAAATACATGATCTAAGTGATTGATAGTTGGTATTCAGCAGTCATAAAAGTATGCCTTATTTACTTTGAAGAACTACTAAAATAGTGATTTTGTCAGACAGCACGGGCAGCAGCTCTATAAAGATGAGATGACTTAGAATGAAATAATAAAGTCATTACATAAAACAAATGTAATATACACAACTGAAATATTTTATTAAAGTAAAGTAATGTGAATAAATGATGATTCATAAGTGATAAGCAGTAATGGGCAGTCACTACCATCATGGGACTTTTATTAATTGTTTTATTCTGTGTTACAGCATTCAATCCACATAATGCATAGTGCATTTCATGTTTAATAATCTATCCAAACCGAACTCATCGCTCAGCACTACCAGGCAGTAAATTAGTTAATAGACCAATAAGATTGAGTCCAAACCTCTCTTTCAATAACAGCTCGTTTTCAGTTTTCCCCTGCCCACTCAGACCACCCCCAGACAGTCCTAGCAAAATTCTTGCTTGAGAAATTGCCATTTTAATTTATTTTGACCATTTTAATTGAAAACAATCTCAGTAGGGTACTTAATTGTTACCCAGAACGGGTAACAACGGCTGCATTGGACCTTTTAAGATATGTGTTTTAAAATAGTTTATTGATGCACCCGTAACATAATAAAAAAATCCCCATCAAAGTCTGTCAGTTTAAGATAGAGATTTTTGCATGGGCTGCGTCTCAATCCACCGCATCTGCCTATGTCGGCCTTCCGCATCTGCGGTGGAAGGTGGCCGAGCTACAGCAGTGTTTGTCAGACCGGGACATCCAAAAAATTGGTCTTCTCACGAAAACGTCTGTAGCGTCCAAATGGTTTGGCCTACAGACCGCTCTATGGAAAGGGGAGACTCTCACGAACACGATGGTGTTCTTCGTTTTGCTCCACGACCCCCACAAGTGTCACGGGACTCATCTCAAACAAACCCATACAAATGAATGGAAGTATGGAGGTAGTTTTGTGCCAACAAAAATAAGGGGTTAAATATGTGTCCAAAAAAACAAAAATATTTCCTGAGGTTTCTTACATCTCCTTGATATAGGACAGACACTTCAAAACCTTATTCCTTATGATTTATTTTTTGACTGTCTTTTTTGGATACCAAAAGTGGTCCTACAATTCTAAATCAAATAGCAAAATGATCCATGGTATGACCATATTAAAACAATTGCATATGTTAGCTTAGCAGAACATATGCACCCTGAGACCTGAAATAACTTCACCCTCTGAGCCAAAGATCCTGACCATTTCTAGTTTCATGTTGCACCTCTGTACCCATCAAAAATGAATACAAATGTAGGATCTTAATTGTATCACCCTGTTGTTGCAGGAAATGCAAACGTGTAGTGTATTCGAAGTCTACAAAGGCTTCTAAAGTTTGTAATTTCCACTTTAAAATGTCAGGCTTGATTTACCCCAACTAAAAATGCATCAACCCCTACAAAAATGTCAATTAATTATAACCCACACAATAATTTACATTTCCTGTTGCTGCAGGATTATTTGCCTGCTGTGAGAAAATGCTCAAATTAAGATCCTATCGGTATGTACCAGGCATGTTCACAGCAAATGGTAATGACAGAGGACTTTTGACACTATCCACTGTCAATATGTCTATGGACACAGCTGTGAGGCTTTTCCGAGGGCACTCTGGTCTTGGTTTTTAATAAGACAAGATAGGACAGAACTGAAGATGAGCGAGTCAGAGACGTGGGATCGTAAATCCCTTCCCTGTTTTTCTCTTTGAGTGACCTGTCACAGCACTCGGTAAAGAATCTTCCTGGGTATTTTACCCAAGTTCCTCTGACACCACGATAATTCTAGTGTCAATAAGCAGTTTGGATGGAAAATTGTGTTCCATAGGATTTATTTAGTCTTACCAGCTGTTTCATTAAATCGAGTATGCATACCCACACACATAGGGCCAGATCCTAGCTTGAGAAATGAATGTGTAAACTGAACTTGCATTAATCATGCCTTGGGAAGATGGCCAAAGACTGCAAGAAGTGGAGATCCTCTGATCCTTTGTTGCTGGTCTACGCACCAGCTGCTGTGATTGGTATGAGTGGTGCAATGGGAGCAGCAGTTTGAGTTACTTGTACATATCCCATGTTAGGATTCAGCCAATAGTCGATATTCCCACCGGCCACTGCAGATCACTCTGATGACTTCATATGCTGGACACTGGAGCCCTGTAATTTGTGGGAGACTGATTGGAAGAAACGTCAAACTGTTCTTCCCTCTCAGCGTGGAAAACAGTGATGGATGACTCTGAGTTTAGGGTTTCCAAACGTTGGGTGGGTGTGAGGGGAGACACTAATGTAGCAAGACCCTGGTTGATCCATTGAAGGTATGCCAAACCACAGGTCTGGTAGGATTGATAATGCCCAGCCTTATTTCCTAGTTCACAATAGATTGCAAATTCACTGATTTCCACTTGAACATAATAAACACTACTTGACTACAGGTTATGTTACAGCCCACATGCTTTCACAACATGCCTGACCTAAAACAGTTTGTATGTACTATAACAAGCCCCCAGATGAAGCAGAAGAAGCCTGACTGATCAATCAATATTATAATGGCTATCAACTCCCTACAGGTTTTAAAATAATTGAAAAGAAAACATCAATTTTCTGCATATCCCATCAGTGATACGTATCACAGTAGACTCTGCAAAGTTGACAGCTCAAATGGCAAGGGAACGAGGGTTCACGCGGAGTGGAAAGGTGGCACGCCAGACCTGTAGAGATGAGCCAACACATGTCAGCTCACTATACACTCTCTCACCTCTTTGCAGAAAGATCATTCCAGAGCATCTATTTTGCTACACTCTGGTTTCAGTGGAAATAAAGTTACAGCCGGCCCATGGCTCAGTCGGTAGTACACCTGTGATGGCTATTCCAGTGCTCCTTT